ATTTAATCCTCCAATTAAAACGCATTTCGATTCGTTTATTGTCTTATTAATTCAACCAAACTATTTTCTCCGCGTAGGGATTTCACTACCATCTTTGACGTGTTTGAAACCTCTGCTTGATTCTGTAATCTGCCAGAAAATAGCAGAAATAATCGATTAGCCAGCTCACCCCTTAGTAAACTAATCCCTCTACTCCGAAACCGTGTGTTTCAGGATATGGAAACGTTATAAGTCTTGCCGCGAGAAACGAAGAGAGTCTCGTTTTATTTCATTTCACAAGCATCACGATATTCACGATGCGACCATTGAAAATATAACGGTTATAACGCAAATAACAAATCCGGTGATATCTTCCGTGTCGTTTACTGAACGATTTGCGCGGACGACGGGATTAACTCGCGCCAAATCGTCTCGCCTTCGGCTGGATAGCCGACTTCGTAAATATCCCGCGCAAACGATTGTCGCTATATCACCGGCTATCCGAAGTCGTTCTTTCCCTCTTTGTCTCTCTATTCTTTCCCCATCTGCCGACCTACTCGGCTAATAACTCGATTTTCACTTCCCCGTCGATCGTGCGTATTACTCTCGCGTGGGAATTAAATCAACGATACCAGAGCGGCCTTCTCCGCGCGCGTCCGCCCTCCTTATTTCCTCGGTCGACCGCGACTCCACCCCCGATCGATTCCCGAATACTCGATACGTTGGCCTTCGCACGGACGCGCGGTTAATACTCGTCCCTCTTGGTTTGCAACCGACGGAAAATTTCGGCCCGTCCAGAAGGACGAGCGAGGCGGGAGGGGGAGGTAGGAACGGGCAAACCAGCACCTTCGGTATTTAATAAACATTCCGCGAAGGCCGCAGTTTCGCTGGAACGTAGGTGGGGGGAGAATTTGTCTTCCGTTCCCTTCCGCGCGCGGCCCCTCCGTCCTCGCCAGTTGCCTTTTTACACCGTATTTTCCTCGCGAAGGGATAGGGGAGGGCGGGTTTAAAATTTTCATTCGATTTCCGCGGGAAATCCGATCCGTCGCCGGTAACCGCGACTATCCGGTCCGCCGCCGCTAGGGGTTGCGAAATTAATTAAATCGTTAACTGCGGACGAGTTTGCCCGGGCCGATATATCCGGCGCCCTTTCCGCTCACGCTGTTTCTCCCCGCGGCGTGGATCGACCTCTGATCGGATCTCCCTTGATCCTCATGCCTCGGTGTTTTTTTTTTCCCTTTTTTCCCCTCTTTTTTCAGGGACATTTCGGCCGTGCGCGAACCCTTGAATACGACTCGTTAAATGCAAAGGGTTGCAAACGCAAAGGGTTACATCGCTGTCACAGGAGGTTTTCATCCGGTTGGGTTGAATTGGTACAGGAAGGCAAATTCTCCGAGCAGAGAGTCACGTTTCAGGATTTACGGCCGCGCGGAAATCGGCGTTGGCGTAACCGTGACGCAGAATAATATGAAAACGGCCGGGAATTGAATCACGTATAATAATAAGCAATACCGATTAATGCTTCAATTCAGTGAGGTGACAAGAAACGAGCGTATGAATATGTGCTAAATGTGTAAAACGTGAGGTACATTTCCACGATACCCGAGTCGAAATTTTGGTTCTACAATAATCCTGCAAATTTCGTCAAATTTTTAGGATCATTAAAGTCTTGATATTTAATATTATATAAGCTATTATCCTTGATGATACCAATAGTTACTTACTATTGTTTTCTCCCTTTGAGTCTTAAAAAAAACTCACTTCAAAATTATTTAATATTAGATTATTTCAATATCCCACCTGAATTCATATTTGTCGTATGTAATAATGCAATATATGTAATATATGTAGTATATAGTGATAAGTACAAATATAGATTGACGAATAATTGGAAATTAATAAAGCTATCGTTATTTGTCAAATGACAACTATGAATGTCGGTCTAAATTTCGACTCGAATATTCCTTTATTCTCGATAAGTTCGTCAAACATCCGTTAAAATCGGAAATTATTCGTATAATGAATTATTGACACACCTGGAAATATGTGATGTATCGCTGCCTATATATCCCGCTTCCCGATTCAGCATTCTGGCTCTCGGCTGTTTCGTCATGGCACTCCGGATATTCGCTCGTGGTACTGACACTCGCATGAATACGACTGTACGATCAAAGAAACATATAGTAATATAAAGACTAATTGCATATTTCAAGAGCCAACGAAATATTTTAATTATTCAACGGGAATGATAACTAGTTTATTGGCACACATGCTTCATGGTATGAAGGTCGCTCGGCGTTTCGAAACGTAATTGAAACTCCCGGAAAGTCTGTGATGCGTGAGTACGTTTGACCGCCTTGAAAATCGCCGTGTATTGAAAGCATCGATTGTTGTGATCACTGTCCGTCGGCGGGCTGACATTTGTTGATTGACGCGAGATGACGTAGCATTTTTTTCCCATCATTACAGTACTCTCGCACATCGCGTTTTTTTTTCATAACCGATTCGGAATACATAGATCGGTACGTTGTCCCGTTATTGATCCCGTTGCATCATTAAGATATCCCGTCAACTTTTGAAATATTTGATAAATCTCTCGTCGATATCGCGTTAATTAATACGCGTTTCTCCGACCGAATTGTCGTGTCCGCGTGAATGTCAGTGCCACTTGCTGTTATCCGGAGAGAGCAGAAGCAGAATGCTGAATCAGGAAGGTAAGACTGAGGAAATAGATTGGATAATGGCCTATATACTATTTTCTAAGAAATTTGTGGGATTTATTATTATATTAATATCCGTAACCAAAATCTTGACTCGCGCAATTGGATCTCCTTGCTCGAATTTCCTCGAAGAAGTACGTTATATCGTTATCGCGAGCCAAATTATGCGAGTATTTCGCGATTTCGAAAAAATGCGCGTCGTTGGTATCATCACTTGTCACTATATTTCGTTGCAAAGCGTGAATGCTACAAGATACGATCGCAGTATCGTTTATCAGATTCACGTGCCCGTAATTATTTATACGCAAAACGTATTGATGATTCCCAGAAACACGATCATACACGTGCAATCGCGCCGTACGAACTCGATATCGACTTCTATGGATGCGCGTGCTATAAATCGACGTATGCTCAATTTCAATTCGCGCTACTATGGCTGCGCGCACCGTGAAATGGAGCATCGCTTTCCTTTGATATCGCTCGAATTGGATTGCAACATTTGACAGGAGCCACAATTTTCGCATATTAACGCTCGTCGCGCGTTTAGCCGCGGCTACCTCTCATCGGTATCGTTTGCGCCGCTTGATATTAATGCGTTAGCTCACGTTACTGATACTCTAAAATATTAATTAATATAATGCGAGTCTATGTCAAATATCTAATATTGCTGACCTAATTCGCGCGCGCGCGCGCGGATCATAGTCAAAAGCGATACTCTGGGCAGCCGGTGCGCGCGGATGCAAAATATAATCTTCGAAACACGCGCCGATATCCATTCGCGTATCGCTCGTACGCTTATAATCCTAAACCAGAAAAACGAAGCTCTGCTACCGTGCCGATTTTACAAGTACTTCAACAAATGTCGCTCCGCCAGGCTCCCGTTCGCGCTCGTGCAATATCGGTAATGAAAGCAGCGCATAACTCTATTAATCCCGAGCCCCAATGTCGAACTGTCGAGTCGGGCAAAACGCGGAAACTGAATACCGCGCGTGACTCGAATCTACACAGCGATCAAAGCGCGCTGTAAAGTGTGCGTAACGTGTATTACACGGAACAATTTTCTCTTTTTTTTCTCCCCGCCGATCGACGGATTCTCACGACGCGTCTCGCGGAGGTAGCAGTCGCGACGCGTCAGCGCCGAGAAGTATCGTCGACGAGTCGAACACGCGGCGACGGGAGAAACCGAGGACGGTACATCTCGCAGATACATCCGGGTATTTCGTCTGGCCTATCCCCCGCGACGCCGAATTTACATAAGCGGCTTTTCTCCGGGACGGAGCTTTTCTCCCGGTCCTAAACAAATATTGACCGGGTCGTCTCCTCGACTGGTCGCCGTCGTACGGTCGTCAAATGGCCCATAGCTGACCACCGCGCGCATTATCCGTAAACGCTTATTAAACGGTGGGCGAGATAGGAAATCATGATGTCAGCGGCGACCTCGTCGGGAGGCGACGTGAGTCAAAGTTTAAGAACGACGTATCGTAGGAGTAACAGTCGCGCAATTTCCGATCAATTGATACCGTCGTTAGCTCTCACGAGTATCGGATAACGTTCGCCTCTTTAAACAGCTTTAAACAGCTTTAAACAGCGGAGCATTAGCCGCTCTCGGCTGTAATAATAACGAAATAATTGGCGTTACGCGGAGCGCCCTTTGGAAGGATCTGTTTCCTCATATTCGGTAATTCCATTAAGTTGCCAAATGTAAACTCCATTACCGCACTAACATACCTAAAAAGCCAAATACTACTCGTGGGCAAACTAATGGCTCTCGACCATGGACAGTCGAGTGGTTAACACATAAACTCAAAATCCAATTAGAATTTAAACTCTAAAGAGTAAAAATCCAATTAGGGGAAAGGCTACGTTATCGCTGGAACTTGAGTTCTCGCAGAGTCCGCAACAAAGTCGTAAAACTCACCGGCTAAACCCTAAAAATCTGTTCACCTATAAGGAGCGCGACAAAAGTGAGCAATGTGTTCAGTTTATCCGCCGCGCAAATCCCCATAAAGCGATGTTATGTATCCTTGCTAATGACGGTTAAATATAGCTGTGTAAGCCGGTATCTCGACTGTATGATTAGTCAGTTGGTCAGACACGTCCCTGACGCGTAGTCATACGTGAAGAAGAATAATTGCATATTATCTTTAAGGCGATCGTTATGCGGCTATGCTATTATTATCTATACCGTTGGGATCGCGCGCGTTGCAAAACGAATTGCGTGTATCTCGCCTCCTCTCGCGTCATGACGCGATACTGCCGCTCGCGCAACGATTGTTAAAGAATTATGTTTCATTGTTACAGAGCGCAAGCTGTTCGTTGGTATGCTGTCGAAGAAGTTCACGGAGAACGATGTTAGAAACATGTTCAGCGTTTACGGGATGATTGAGGAATGCTCGGTGCTGAGGGACAGCACCGGGAAGAGTAAAGCCTGTGCCTTCGTTACCTTCGCTAGTAAGCAGTACGCGATCAACGCCATCAAAGCTCTACATCATTCCCAGACCATGGAGGTGGGTGTGCAATAACGTTACGTCAACGGCATATCTCGTCGATTCTGTTACTTATAATGGGGTGTTCTCATTTGAAACGTCGTTTTTCGATTCTTGGAAATCTTTTGTTTTTGAAAAAACTATAAGACATACAATTCTGAAATTTTGTACAAATATTTATCAATATTTTTTGTACACAGTAATTTCTACACATTATTATTCTCAATATTAATGAAATTATAAATAATTTTATGCTTTGAACGGAAGTTTTGCTCGCATATTTGCCACGATTTCGGACAGTAAGTATCTGGAATCGAAACGGCGAAAAAAGTGATTAAGCTACAAACTTATGGCTGTCGTTCCTACCACGATCCAGAATAAAAATTCATTTTTGACAAAATGGCACGATTTAAAAGAAAAAACTCGATCTTTAGCGAATTCTTTTCAGCTTTGGGAAACCTTAAAAATCGAAATATATAAAAGATATTGGCTTCATCGTGGTAAAAACGATAATCACAAGTTTATAGCTTAATAATATTTTTGCTATTTCGGTTTCAGAAATCTACCACATCCGGAATCGTGGCAATTAACCGTTCAACGCTAACAAAATTATTTATAATTTTCTCAATAGTGAGGCGTAGAAATTACAGTGCATAGCGTCGAAATTACAGTACAAACACTGATGAATACCTCCTTCATTACTATTCAGCGATTTCGATCTGACTATGCGATCATCGAGTTCCATTTATCCTCCCATCACCGACTCGCTCGTATCCGCGTCTTTTTTCTCTTTATCTTTTTTTTTATGCAAACTAAGCGATCCTAGCAAAATGCTGGTTGCTCGCGCAGATGATAGACGAGCCAATGAAGGTGCGCAATCTGTTCTCACGTTAACGTCCTGAGGAAGAACTGGGCCGCGAGGGCCACTCGTTCGATCATTTAGACGGAGTAAACGGTGTCGTAAAGAGATTAGGAGATGATGGTACAAAGCGGGTCTTCGCGGTTCGTTTCTTTCCGTGGCGATTCAAACGCGAGCCGTCGGACGTATTGGCTCGATGCCACTGTCACCCGACGAAACATCCGTGTGCATCCACAACCCGGCTAGTCACCTCGGTGAAATACCAATTTAACTCGGGGTAACTAAAACCGTGAGCAAGTGAAGATGGCCGAACTGGCCGACACCTTGGCGATTCGAAGCTCGCCAGGACTTTTCCGTCTCTCCGTCTCTCACCGGCCAAGTCTCCGCTGCCGCTTCCTAAGCTTCCTAAGCTCCCGCGAACTCTAGAATAGAAGCTGGCGCACATTTTTCAGGCGGTTTCAGTAAACCGTTCGAGCGGAAAGAAACGCGCGTTACATGTCGTTCTCTTGCGACTTCTACATAAATTCTACATAAAGTGAAAAATAAATTGTCTCGTCGGCGATATCGCGTTTGACGGATATCAAAATCTCCCTCTTCTGTTTCGAACTTCTCCATTTCCCGCGGTAACCTATTGCTGCGCGTACGTATCAATAGTGGAACTGCTTTTTTTTTTCTCACGGTCGAGCGAGACGTGTCACGCGTTTAAAATATTCATCTGCATCAACAACCACCTCGCGAGACGGTGTGTTCCCGTCGCGGTGACGATACGCCTATGCGACGTACTATTTCGAATGGCAAAAGCGAGCCGTGCCAAGGCATGCGGGCACGAGGGCAATTCCACTTTAATATCACGAATATTTCCGGCCGCAGGTTCCTCGAACTTGCTCGTTCGTCGTCGCTACCGGCGCAACCGGCACGCCGATTTCGCGTCTGCGATTGCACGCGCATTGTGTACGGTGCATCGACCTCGCGGTACTCGCGTGCACCCGGTCCCGCGACCGAACGAGAGTATCTCTTTCCCCGAATGTAACGCCTGATCGCCGGCGAATCCGTTCTCACGCCAATGCTGAACTTGGACTTGAACCAATAATCACATCGTGCGAAGGGACGCGGGTCTTAGACGCGAAATGACGCTCCGAGCGAGGTATGGCGGAAGTCGAAGTTAACGAGAGACGTATCGAAGCGTGGCGGGGAACTCCTGCGGAAATTTGAACAGAGCGGGACACGATTGTATCGAACGACACGTATCGTCCCGAATGCCGTCATTGAAGAATGTCGATCGAACTCGAAGTACGAGTGTCCCTCGGAATTAGGACAGTCACTGTCGCTTGCGGTTCAAAGGCTGAGAGAGAGAAATATTGTGTATGTTCGCGTATATTGTCTCTCTCTCTCCGGCTCTAAACCGCAGCATGACTATTAGTTGCTCCAGTTTCGAAGCATTCGACTGCCGACGCGGGCCAAATTTATCCCTATCGGCGTCCCGATCGGATTAATATCAATTTTACGTCGGGATTATAGGATCGACTCTCCCTTTTTATAGTTCGCGTCTTCTTTACGAGTGCGCAGCGCCAACACGTTGTACAATTTTCAGGGTTGCTCGTCGCCGCTAGTCGTGAAATTCGCCGACACGCAAAAGGAAAAGGATCAGAAGAGGATGCAGCAACTCCAGTCGAATCTCTGGAACATCGCGGGAGTCAACATCACGCCGCATTACCTGACCGTACGTATACTTAATATTTTACAATGTAAGCTCTTTGGCCGGTATCAAAGATTCCATTTGCATCGAAAACGAGACGCTCTTCATGACTCTATCGTTTGAACGCCTTACATTCGTGTGCATTATCCAGCCTTTGAGACTTTCTACACGGCGACCTCAATTTTGTTATGCAAAATATATGTAAAAAAAGAAACGGAGAACTAAGACCTCCTTATGGACCGCCGCCCTTTCTCTATTATTCTCATATTCTATGAACGCATTTAACGCCCAATGTGCGGCTACCTGCACTGAGGTCTTTGTTTTTAGCGAAGGTTTGATGAACTTCGCATAAAAACTTCACGAGCGTATGTTATGAATAATTTTTCCGTAACGATAATGCGACGAGGAATAAAGAATTGATAATCGACAGAAAAATGCCGAAAATTTTGACTATAAAGAATACTATATCTAAAAAAGAATAAAAAATTTGCAATCCTAAAAGCAGTACGCGATGCTTTCGGGAATTCAATGAAAAATCAAGTAACGGACATGAAAGTGTCAAAACTTCCAAGTAGAAAAATTCTAGATCTGAGGAGAATTATTTAAAAATCACAGGTTTCTCGCAGCCTTTTAAAATTAGAATGAAAATGTTTCCGAGCAGGTGGAAAAAATTGCGAATGCGCTTGCACCGCGAGAAATATCAATACGACGCAACGGTGCACACAATCGACCTCGATTGACGAGGCACGCGTTTGTGCTTACAGAACGACACGCATACGCTGGCGCCTGCGTCGCTGCAGCTGTTGCAGCAGTTGCAGGCGACGACGAGCGCCGCGACTCCGGTCGCCGCGAACACGGGGGCGAATGCACTGTCGAATGTGCAACATCAGTTGCTGCTGCAACAACACCTTGGCCTTGGTGCGGCAACACCTGCCCACGCCGCGCCCCCCGCCGTGCCGAGTCCGCCGGAAATCAACCCCGCGAATCTGCAGAGTCTGGCCACTCTCGCATCCCTGAGTAATACTGCTGGTGAGTATGGTTAGTGTCGATTGCTTGCATATATTTTTACTTTTGCGCTTATGCCGCCGCGCTTCTCGATTATAATTTACATTTAATTAGCGAAGAGTGGGCCAATGAGAGTGAAAGCACAGATCTTCTAGTGCAATTAAAAACAACTTAACAGTGTAAGAATGAGTATTTATCGTTGAATATTACGAATAGATTCAAACGTTTCGGCCCTATAATTGTTCATTCTTACCATTAAGTGATTTTAATGGCATTAGAAGACCTGTACGTTTATTCTTATTGGCCCACTCTCCACCTTGAGATTGTATATCAGAGAGTTTTGTATTTTAAATTTTCGTTTAATTAGCGAGTGCGTCAAAACGAAACTGAATTTTCTCGCACAATATGTCATATGATCGATATAAATTAATCGGAACCGACAACTTACTTGTCACGCTGACTCTGAACTACTACAATTTCAAATTCCTAATTATTAATTTGATAAAATCTCTAAGTGCATTAATGTGCGCAAATGCATGCATGTACGTAGAATCGTGAAAAATCATCGTATCCTTTTTTTCGACGAGTTTTATTATTTTTATTTCATTCTCACATTTTCCTTGTACGTATGTAGATTTCTGATTCGATTAATTATTCATGGTCTCGCACGTAAAAAAACATGCGACGTGTATATTAGCCGCATCTGCTTCGTGCACTTACTTTTATCTCATCTTTATTACAGGATACTTTGTCGTATTTCTGACATTGCAACGACCGGTTATGAGATCCTTAAATTTTATCCCCTTTGTACAATTGTGCCCGTTTAACTTCGTCGCGTCACCTTTTGACCCTACTCCACGAAAGCTCTTCGCATACTTATAGAATTCCTATTTATGAGCGCGATAAAAACGCAAATCTTACGGACGAGTTTAAATATATACTCTCACCAGGGAGATCTGCTTTTGTTCTGAAATGTGTCAGTCGCTCGGCCATTATTCCGATGCAAAGCATCGAATAAAACTCAATCGATCCGATTTTATCCGCGGAATGTGATTTCAATCCGTTCCTTCGCTAAAATTACTCGGCCGGCGCATTCATATCGATGTCAGAATAAATTATATTATTTTGCGCTTTGCATTCTCCAACTTTCGCCGCTCACTACGATCGCGCGGGCCGTATCTTTTCGAAAGTTATAACGAAACGTTCCGCGCTAGTCTGCCCTGCAATAATAAAATTCTACATTTAATGGGATCGGGACAGATGCCAGTACGATGATACACCGCCGTGCGCGTTTGTCATTAACTTTATTCTGAAATATGTGTTTACCGCTCAGTGTTGCGGAACGTATGGTCATTCGATGACGTTCCAGCGTCACGCAATGGGTTTGCGTGTACGCGCACTCAGCGAAGAATGACGATATGCCTGCTTTCGATAAAGGGCCTGGGTTTCAATATTCAATGGGTTAAATTGAGTAAAACGTCAACCTCCAAAGAGCTATTATTAAATTGTTCTCATTCTCCTTGATAATATTATTTATAATACACGATAGATCGATCTTTTGGAGAAAAAAGTAGTTTTCAACGACCGTCGGATTAACCCCGATTTTTTTCGGCGATTTGTAAATTCTCCTCGCTATATTATTCCGCGTTTTGCAGCTACCTCCTTCTAAAGTGAAGACAAGTAGAACAAGAGCACTTAGAGATTAAAAAAGAAGTTGTATCGCGCAGAATCACGACTCGACGGATAAGAAACGCTGAAACGACGACAGCGGGGCGAGGTATAATCGTTTCGGCGCAAAAAGAAACCTATTACAGTTGAAATGTAACAGAGCCGAACGAGGATGAATATTACCGAAAGGCCTCGCGAATGATAAACTCTGATTGTGTTTCAGCGAATGCGGGAGTGTCACCGATGAGTATGCAGAACCTCGTCACCCTGGCAGCCATGACCGGCGGAAACGGCAATCTCCAGGTGTCGCCAAACAGTGAGTAGAGAATATTTCGCGAGGTGCATAATCAGAGAACACATTATCGTACATTAACGTGCAACTGTAAGTTCCGAGCGGAACTGTCCGGCGCTTCGAATTATATACGTAACTTCGGGCCCTCGCTGTTACCGCCGCCCGTCCTCCCACCGATTGTACAAAACACCCATACGCTTATGCATCACGTACGTTGCCCGCGGTAGACGGTAAATCCGCTTGAGCGTAGTAGTCGGACTTTAATGATCGCATGCGTTGTCGAAGTTCCAGGCCGAACGGGTGAACACTGTTCGTGCTTTTGTAGGTGTGCATGGAAAAGCGGCCGGCCGAAGTCACGCCGCGATCACGGCGCCGGTAATAATGCGACGGCGTATTTATACCGTATCCTTCTCACAGAATGTATTAACGGACGTTATAATCGCGATGAGGAAAGTGTCCCGAGACATACCGCGATCGCGAGCAACGCATGGCTGGAAGCCATTCGAGAGAAAAGTGAACGTGCGTCCGGCTCTACTAACTTTATGTGCAAGTTGCGATGTGTTTCATGCGAAAAACCGATGATCTCGAGAAATAATGGTATTTATCAAACAGATATACAGATTAGCTACGTTGATTGAACGATATCGGACATGCTTCCGCTTCCGAGATTATCGCGGCTATTCTCGTGAGTAACTTCATCGAAAATCAAAAATTATTTCAACGTTCTTCAATTTGTAATTCGTCACGACGTTTCGAGTCCCGACTCACTTCTGCAACGTATTATTTACGTTTGTAAATTAACTCGATGTATGTCATATTTCATCAACAAAAACAAACGTCCAAAGCGCATCGAGAATAACTGAATTTGTGTTGACTGTTTCTCCCCTTCGTTGATTGAAACGAATTTGTTGATTGAGTATGAATTAAAACAGAAAAATTCGCCGCGAGACGTGATAATTAATTTGTGGCAGATTGCAGTATTATCAAGTGAACTGTGTCGAAATTTTTAATAACATGTACTTCTGCGTATTGTGTGCATGTTGAGTCGTATAAATGTACAAAGTCCGCAGGTAAGATGTACGTTTCTAGGCGTGCACGCGCGCGTAGTTAATTGCACCATTACCCTCTTGTCATATTTCATATTATACCGGCAGGGCAAACTAACACACCTTTATTACTTTGCGTGTCCACGATATTGCGCTCCCTTTACGATTTGTGTAAAGTCAATAGGAAAGTGAGTCAAGTATGCAGGCTGCTGCTTCGTCGCGTTCTTCACACGCGAGCGATTATGCAAGTATCGTTTGCGTAAGAACGAGTTTTTCATATAATTACAGCAATCACGATTAAGTCACGGTTAAATTGACATTGAACGGTAATCGTGGATCTCGATTATGCAAAATGAAAAAAATAGAAATGCGATCTATCGTATTCCTCAATTTACGTTAATCATTTACACACATACACACAGCTTTGGCCGAGAGCACTCGACAAAAAGCAAAGTCTCTATCAAGTTGGAATAAACACTATATATATAAAAAGATAAGATTATTAACAAATTACTGAAAATCTATTCAGCGATTTTAAATTGACAAACGCTGAGCAACTTGCGGCATCACAATTTATTATACATTTGCTGTAGATATCCGGCCAAGATTGTCTGCACAGTTAAGACCGCTTTATCCGGTAAGATATTCCTGTGACAACAGTGCGATGCTTACATGTTGCGTTTGATGTAACAGCGTAACGGCAAAGACAAATATTTATCGCGGAGACGTTGCCACAGTTAGCCGTGCAAACTTGACTAGTCGCATTAATTTGAAACTAGTGAGCGCACACCGTTGACGCCGCAATTTCACCGTCGCAATTAAAAACGGAATTGCGACGGCGGCAGCGCCGCCGAGAAAATCCCGTCAAAGCTTCATTTCGCGAGAATACATCGCTGATCCCGCTTGTTAATACCGCGAACGTGTTCTGTGTTTCAGCGTTAAGCGGCCTGGCGAATTCGACAGCAGGTATGTCGCTATGTACGTGTCGCATTGCCTGGTACAGTATTAACAATTACTAAATTAATTTCGATCGTGCAAAAGGGTCCCCCCTCTAATCCCGTTGACGGCTCGATTTTCTCATTTCGCTTATTTAATAGTCCGCGCGCACGTGCACGTGCGTGCGTGCGCACACGCTCTCGGTTTCTCTCGAATTCATCTGTTTTTGTATACATTCCGAGTTCCGTGATGGATACAAACTCACCCACGATTTAAACCGCGATCGAACATTTTGCATTAAATGATTGTCCCAAGGTTATTTAAGTGCGATCGATGAAGCGGTTGGTGATCGATTAACGTGGAGAATTGGTCGTATGTGAAAATGTTAAATGTTAAAAATCAGTCTCTCTCTCTTTCTCTCTCTCTCTATCTCTCTCTCTCTCTTGAATATCGACTAATATCTGCCGACAACTGTTTTATCATAGCAGCAGTTTAAATAGGTATTTTTTTTACTTCTTACTTCCTAATTAAATTAAATTTGCATACGATCACAAAAAAGGAGAATTGTCATATATTAGGACTATTGCGCAGAAATTTACATAAAAGCATGGTGCATATAACATTTACACATTCATCTACAAGAATTATCATCCGACTCTTACATATTATATTGTTGCTATTATGTAGATTTGTATGCAATAGATGTAAGTCGCAAATAATAGTTCCATTATTTTCGTATCTTAAACGTGGCCATATTACGAGTTTCATTATTGTCGCATTTTACGCTTTTCTTTATTCTTTTTTTCTAATCACATTTTGAACACACATCGTAATTTTAACACTGCTATTTTTTTCGTGCGTAGCTGCCCTTCTGGGGAAAACAGGAAATACAGGTGAGATAAATTCGTGGAAGACAAACTGTTTGAGCTCATATTCTTTATCGTGTATTGCAATACGTTACATATCTTCTTTTCGTTATTTTCTTCTTCTCAAATCCCTTTCCCGTCAATGTTACTTCTTCACTATCACTCTTGTACATTTTTCATTATCGTCTCTCGTATATTTTGTATTGATGATCATTGTTTGTCGCAGATTTGATCAAACGGGTCTCCCCTAATTTGACACTTCGCTCTTAATGAAATATTTATTCAAGAATAAATTATATAATATTATATATCAAAATACGATAAAAAAGTGCGAATTTTTTACGAAGGAGAATAAATCCAATTCAAATTGATCCACTTCAAATTGATCGTAATACAAATGACAATAGTGTGGTAATTCCACGACATTCTGTATATACGTGTAAATTTTACCCACGAACATAGATAACCGAGTCAATTAGTAACTAATTGTTGCTGCACGCCGAATTACCGGCGTGAAAATCTTTCACGAACATTGAATTAACGCATTAATTGGCGAGACCCGGTTGGAGCTTTCAGGAACGTGCATATTTTTATCCTTCATCAATATCGTAAATCGTAGTTTTAACAATATGTACATAGCGGACTGAATTAATTGTCTATTTGAGATATATTGAAAGCAAATGATTCACGCGCAAACGCTTATCGCAATTAATGGGCGCATGATTCTCCGTAACCAGAATTTACGGCAATGTATGCCTGCTGGCATAACGAACAAGAAAAGTACGACTGTTTTTTTCTAGAAAAGCTTCTCGCAATTAACCTGGGAATTAGCGCGTGATATTTTTTTATTATTCTTTTCACTACGTATATGATTACGCATGAAAGTGTATTGTATGACCTATTTTTAAATCGTTATTGTTTTTGCATTGCAATTGTTGCATATTTCTTCGTCGATATTGCGGAGATATTTTTTATGCTTCGAGATTTCAATTATTAATTATTACGTGGGACAAATTCATATTAAGCAAAATACTTTATGCGTGCATTATATGTTGTAATTTTTGTATTTTACCCATTCGCGCATATTCAAGATTTCTTTATATAAATTGAATCTTCTTCGCATATCACACACACGATAGTGTCACTTAAAATTTCCTTCACAATGGTTATTTTAAAATATAACGTCCAGTTCAAGTTAATCGAAACCGTCTATGATGCTACTATCCACGCATAACAGAGAACAGAAAGATAAAAACTGTCACGAGGAATTCATCATAGAATTCGAAGCCATTCGAAGCAATAATCTCGTAGCACTATATTAGTAGCACTAATTCGTCGTGTCGCACAAGTACGAGCAGCTTCCTGTTTCTAATCGTAATAACTAGTGATAACAAATTCGGAATAGCGACGATCGCTGTTTCCGCGATGTCGCAGCATGCCTCGGAATTAATTAGGCTTGGGCATCGTCCGCGCACTTGCGGATCGGTGGAAAGTAATATGACCTTGGCGTTCATATTCAAGGGTCTACTGGGGGCAGTCTCAGTCCTGTGACATCCCTTACGCTCAACTCCTTGACGGGCACGCCGTTGAATGGGCTTCAAGATTCGCTGAGCAACGCTTATTCCAGTTTGCAACAGTATGCAGGTAATTATTATCGCTCATACGGCTACTTTTCGTGTGCACAGAAGAGCGTTGTACGCAGCTCAGACTACGCCTCTCTGTGATCCGCGTGAACACGCAAAAAGAAGTGCTGTTTTCTAACGAGTAAACTATGCGCATTAAAGCTCTCATTGGAAAGACGACGGTGACCGTGGAAAAGAAAGAGTTGCATAGTGAGTAATAAATGAGTAGAAATTGCCTGGATATGCATTTCTGTGAATCGTCTATCTTTTTCTTCTCTCTTCTTTTTTTTTTATTTCGCATCAAGTCTCTCGTATCGTTCACTTCCGAATTGACACGTTTTTAACCGCGAAACGTTTCGTGCGATCGATACAAGCGCGAAATACCAAGATCAACCGCTTTGCGACTGGAACAATGAATTACAGAAAATAACGGAATGTGAAGGTGAACGAAATGAGTGCTTGAAAAAGGACAACCGGTAGGTTCGCATGTGTCTATCGGAAATACCCACGTATCTCAGCACACATGATGTACACTCATAAAGATTTAAATAAGCAGAGAGGTTACGATGCCACGGTTGCGGGTATCGAAGAGAGGGCTTGCAAAATCGTGTTACACACGCATTCTTCTGTAATACTATGTGTGTAATCTGTTTTTGTACGTATATATATCGCAGAAGTTCAAATACAACTATATTTTAATTCTCTCATTTTACCTTTCACCTTTTCTACCGCGCGCAATGTTTATCTGTTTATGCTTATATTCGAATACTCTATTACGCGGTATTATTCGGAATAGATTCAAATGAATTCGATCAGACGATATTAGATCAGTTGTGCCTGTTTGGTGTGTCTCTGTAAGCTGCAGCGCGTCGAGCCGATACGTAGAATCGTATCAAATTATTTATCTCGAAGTGACATAGGTCAAGTTTTGAGAGGAACGATTAATTCAATCAAGATACAGCTGCGAATTCGCCTGATCAAGGTTATTGTGCAGATATCGTTCGAGATTAGAGGTGTGCAAGTCGTTCAAATTCGAGTCACTGTTGATTTGATTCGAATTCGTTTTCGAATCTAAAAGGTTCGCATTTGAATAGTTCGATAATTTCGAATCATCGACGGTTGATCTTGAGTCGATCACGTCTGTCGATTGTTTAATTGGAATTAAATCTAGTTCCTTAAAGTCTTTTTTATTATTAAGAAAAATTATGTGTGTAAGAATGTTTTTTGCTAAATAATTTAATGGTTTTGATAATAAAATGTAGATACTTTGTAAGATATACATGCAGTTTGAAAACGCTATTAATATATAGTTTACATAAAAAATTAAAAATAATTAATTCCATAATTTTTTAGACTTACTGAGTATATATTCAGCTTATAAAATATGGTTACATATATACACATGTATCTATCAGCTTATAAGTTCTTCACTTTACTGTCTAATATCCATTATAAATTTATAGTACTTAGCATAACATTTTACTTTTAACAAGAGATTTTCTCAAAACTATATAGTGATTAAAATTTTTCCCCATTTAAGAAAAAATTTTTAATACCATTGAAAATACTTGATCATATTCAGATTAGCATGTAATGTAAACCTCGGAAAATCTGATTCGAATTCGATTCGCATTCGAATAAAAAAAATTCGATTCGACCATACAGATATTTGATTCGCACATCCTCCCTTCGAGATGTATTTACCGATGTTTTCCGGCTGCCTTTGTAAATCCCCCGACTTTCTCACACGTTTTGTCCCTGAATCGCAACGAGATTTTCAAAATTTGATTTACGTCACTTCGAAGAACGCGACTGGGGTTGCGTCCCTCGGCTACGTATAATACGTGAGTATCATCGACGTATTCGGGTTTCAGGGTTCCCGGCGTTCACAGCTGCTGCGGCTGCTGCGGCGGCGGCGGCGCAAAAGACGAAATTCAGCAACACGGACAAGCAGATCGAGGGTCCCGAAGGCTGCAACCTCTTTATCTATCACCTACCGCAGGAATTCAGCGACACGGACCTCATTTCCACCTTTTTGCCGTTCGGCAACGTCATATCCGCCAAAGTTTTTATAGATAAGCATACGCACATGAGCAAATGCTTCGGTGAGTTGAGTTGGCTATCAATCGAACGCAACACCAATCGGGAGTAAAATACGAGCGTTCGTCACGTAACTTCAATAGCGATGGAGGGATCGCGCGACGTTATGATGTTTTCATCGAAAAAAGTGCTACATTCAAATGAATAATTACTTCAATACTGTTTAAGAAATTTTCATTTAGATTAAGTAAATATTACTTGAATGTAACCGAAAAATGTTAAATTATAAAATTAAAAAAGTAATATTTACTTAATTCGAGTGGGAATTTGCTGGGAAATATTGGAGTAATTATTCATTTTAACGTAGGACTCCTTTCTTCCAGTCTTCAACAAAATTCCTCCGCGTCGCAATCGCCGTATTTTAGATGTCGTGCTCGTCTCGTTTCTAATCTAATCTTCGCGTTGGCGCGACGCTGCACGAGTAACGAATTTATCAACGTTATTCCAGGTTTCGTGTCGTACGACAACGCGTCGAGTGCGCAAGCGGCGATCCAGACGATGCACGGTTTCCAGATCGGCATGAAGCGACTGAAGGTCCAGTTGAAACGGTCCAAGGACGCCTCCAAACCGTACTAGCCGACATCACAGAGCGTTCGTAGGTAGATACCAAGGACTTCTCGGACACCTCGCCTCGGCTCGACGGCGTCCTTAGTCGGGACTCGCGCGTATTACAAATTAACAACCGCGTCGGTTGATATAATCATCCCGCTGTGCGGGACCTCGCGCAGGCTAGCTAGCTAGCTAATAGGTCTCTAGGTCTATAGGCAAACGAAGAAAGTATTCCACGATGCTCTCTAGTCAAGCGATATTTTTCACGAAGGTAGCGCGAGCTAACGGGCTATGATCGAGCGTCTTTCGGACGCCGAAGAGGAGACGTCCCGCCGCTCGACGCCTTCGCCATCCTATCGAAACAAGGCTGTGATAATCCAGAAGACTCTCTTGTCCATCGGACTGACTTTTTTTTCCGAGGTGCAGGAACGTATTCTTTATCCTTTTAACGTGTCGCTTGTGCGAACTGTCCCGCCGAATTATCTTCTCTCTCTTTCTCTCTCTATTTTTACCTGCCGGTCCACCCTGTGTGAACTCGAGTACATTTTTAATTCAACGATCTGTCTACTCCACTCACGTCCGTGCCACGTCGCGTTCGTGTGTCGTAGTTACCGTCTGTTGACCCTTTAATGTCGTATATATAGAAGTCCCGACTGCTTTCTCTCTTCGATAATCCATTCCAGTAATTTTATAGGAGACAGGATAGAAGTAACGAGTCAGTATTACTTCGGGCAGCTCGACTTTCGCAGTCCGTAGTGACCGATTTCAGAGACTGTGACTATAGACTCTATTCCCAGCGCACGCTCGTACCTAACGAGCCCGCGACGAGATACAATTAATCGAGATCGAGACACATCGCGAAAGCAACGAATGCTTGTGTAGCTCTAAGAATCTTCGCGCACAGTGTACAGCAGCACAAAAGTTTCGCCTAGACCGATGCAGTGGTGCTTAGCGCGTTAAATAATACGGACGCAACTCCGTGATGTACCTATACATTTCGAGAGCGGGTCTCTCGAATTCGTGAGCAAGTCGCAATGAATACAACCAGTAGCTTTTGAAATAAATGATACGTAAAGCTTCCGCAGACTTTTCCGTTCACACAGCAAACCGTGAAACAAATAAAGGCTTCCCGAGTTTAACCTGATTCGAGTTCTGGATGAAAGCTCGTTTACGTTCCTAGAAACGGGCGTGTTTAGCGTGTTAAACGCGTTCATTCGCTCCCGTCGAATTCAATCTGTGTTGTGCGCGAAGAACGAAGTTCGAATGTAAACGGTGCACGCTTGAAGATCGAACAGCCACACATTCGTCGTTAAACGCGCGACTCTCGCAATACGGGTCTCGCTCAGTCTCTCTTTCTATCTCTATCTCTCTTAAATCGTAATATTCGCCCGTATTTATCGCACGGTGTCGAAAACATGTTCGTCTCTTCGAATCTCGAAAGTGCAAAACCCGCCGGCACGTTCCCCGGCGATGCAATCAAACTACATCTCGTTGTAAGGGCTGCCAGTATAAAGCTTTCTGTGCTAACTTACTGTTGCACAAAGTGGAATTACGTACATGAAGTTCACTAACATACGTAGCTTTTTCCNTTTTTCCCCCCCCCCCCCCCCCCAAGAGAGTAAGAGTAGTTCGCTTTTGAATTCTCACGCAGCGTTCACAAGTCGTACCTTGTAACCATTTGACGATTTGATTTTTCTCTCTGTTGTTTTCATTTTCTCTGTACTCTTTGTAATTTATATCTATTTCTATTTCTCTATCTACTTCTCTTATCTATTTATCTATTTCTTTGTCTCTATTATCTCTATCTATCTTTACCTATTCTCTATCTCTCAATAACCACGCGTAGAGTGTGAGCCGGTAGTTGAGCCGGCAGATACGAGCGATACACACAAGGACCTACCTCACTCATTTGTAATTATACCAGAAGCTATATTACGCCGCGCGTGTATCCTTCGTTCATTGTTCGAGGCGCACAGAATTCGACACGTTCTCAAGTGACAATAATATCACTAAGTTGATTCATTTTTTTTTTTTTAATTTAATCGTTAATCACGCTACGATGCTTCATTAGTTAGTAGTACTAACATTGCTATGTGATTTTTGGGGAGGGGGGAGGGGGGTGGGGGATGATGCAGCCGGTCGTCGCGAGCGAAGGATGAGATCCGCCAAACGTTTCCGCAAATAAAATGATAACGGTGATTCGCGTACAAGAATAGCGTATACTCCGCTGCTCTTGATTATACCGTTGTCGCGATTAACGTTCTGGAATAATCGGCAAAGAACGGCTTTCAACTGCGGAACGACCGTCGCAGTTATTCGCATGCGATTTGAATCCGGAAGCGGCTGGCGAATTTCACCGTGCGCGTTGCATCGGCAACGAGTTTCCACTGATGCGCCATCAAACACTTTGTTTCTCTTTCCTTGTGACTGTCTGTCAAGCTGAACAAAGTGGACGCTCGTTGCTCGTGTCTGAAAAGGACGGTTCGGCAAACTACCTGTGTACACGATGCACGGTGTCGTCGGTTTTGGAGGCCCCGCGAACGTCGCGTTTGGTCCTTTGATGTTCGAACTTCCGCTGATGGTCAAAGCGGCTCCGCGCGCGCAATTTTCTTATCAGACGTGTATAACTTTCGCGATAACCGCTAACAGTTCAAGTGTTAACTCCACGCTTAATACCTTACGATTACGCGAATTATGTAACGATCCGGCTTTCTGTGCTAAATTTTCATCGTACTGGAACCTCGGGCGAGGTGAAGCTTGACTAATACACACCGAACGGTTTATTTATTTGAGCCCTCCGCAGTTCGTTAATGAAATTAATTATTCTCCCGAGTTCTCTATCTCAAGGAACCACGGCTACGTGTTCTCGTCACGACGAATGACAAGAAGCGCAACGAGTGTGCCGCGTCGAAGTCGATCGAGCGCGAGTCTGCAGAGACATACAGACATCTCGGATACCTCGCGGGGCCCCGGCGGAACCATCACCGCGCGCGTTTGCCCGGGGATGAACCTTCATATTTGGTGTGTGGTGGTGACTAACCTGTCCGTGTGTTTGTTTGTGTGCCAGCAGGTGGCCTGTGACGTTGTGACCGTGTACTCTCGATCGGAGTCGCCGTGCCATGTCAGTCTCAGTCAGTCAAATCGGTATCGATCGTTCGCTCGACCGGTCGATCGATCAGTCACGACTCCCCGGTCAGTCTTTCGATCAATTTATCTGTGTCTGTCGGTGCCTGTACAAAGAACAACACCCGCCCAAAACGCGCTCTCACTTCCGCCGTAAGATCCTCCACTCCGCCGACCTTTTCTTCTCTCTCTCTCTCTCTCTCTCTCTCTCTTTCTCTCTTTCTTCGTCTCCTACCCTCGACCCTCTCGCGCGCCCGTGTCCACGCGATCGCACCGAGAGGAGATCGCCGTCGATCTACGAAAGTCACACACGCTTCGTTCTCTCGATCTCGTGCGCGATACGCTTACGGCCGAATTCCCGTGGACGACCGTCGGACGAATTCACGCGGACGCCGGAGGTGTGCGGCAAGTCGCGACCGAAAAAACTGCTGCGCGCATGCCGAGGAACACGACGGAGAGAAAACGCCAGGAAAGCGGAACGAGAGGCGGAAGACGATGCACCGACGGCCGAGCTGGGTTCCTCGAACGAAGCTAACGCGCTATGTTAACCGTCTGTCCACCCCGGTCCTCTGTATATACAGATATATAAATATATTATACATATATGTACATACGCATATATGTGCACGTGTGTATGTGTGTGTATATGTGTGTGCGCGTGTGTGTGTGTGCGTGTGGTATATGCGAATGTACGCGCGTATGTCGCGGACGCGGCGAGAATTCTCGTAGCTAACTCGCAATGAGCGACGCTCTTCGTCTTACGCGGTCTTCACAATGAAGCAGGACAAAAAGACAAAAGGAACGCGCGGCACGCGCCGCAAACCGTGTGCGAGAAATTTCTTATACATAACTATACATAAACATAGGTATACATACATGTTCATAAATCGAATTATCGACTGAAAACTATTTTTATCGGCTCTATTGTCGGGATCGCTGTCGGCGCCTCGGCGCTTGTTTATATATAAATAAACACACACACACACACACACACATGTGCATATAAATCGCTACGAATTGATATAGTAGAGGCGAGATGAATATGAATGCGTGTATGTGTCTGTCTGTGTGAAGGGACGCGAAAGACGGAGGCTGGAAATGGAAACGCGAAAGGACGAACAATGATCGTGCGGGACCGGCGCGCGTGCGATTTCTTAGGCTTAGATCGTGCAAATATACCAAAAACGGAACGGATACAAAGAAACAAACAAAACCGATAGAGGTAGCGAAGAAGCCGAGTATAAGAGACATTTTGTAATAATGACTTTGTGATAAGATTGTATCGTGTAGGAGACGAGAGGTATATATGCGGGGCCGCTTTCTGATCCCGCATGGCGAAATTTACCGAGCGAAATCACCACGTTCGATCGCTCACGATTAGCGCGAATCGGACGCGTATTCGCGCGTTCGGCACTATCGCCGCCAGAAACACTGCGAACGTAGACAAGTACGCGAAATGCGGCGAATTTTTAACGAATTTTACCGTCGGCCGAGTTTCCCGACCGCGCACTCACATCGTCTTCTTCGTCGGGTTCGCGAGTCGCATCTTGCGCGAACCGTAGCTCCCCGCGTGAACTGGAAGAAGGACCGATCGGACGAGTTGAAAGTCTCCACATACTAACGCGGATGGTTGAAAGGAAAGAAAGTCTGTCGAGGGACGATATGTCAGCATGTAAATTTGAGATTCATTTTTAGAGCTATCACAAATATTCGCGAATGTGAGTCTATTTATTTGGTAAATTGTTAATCGGGAAAACATTTCGAGTTTTAGGGAAATGAGAAGTTCCGTCAGCTGCAGAAAAAAAATCGGTTTGTGGGGACTTGACGTTGCGCTAATGTAAATTAACAATGTGCTTCTTCGTACAGGAGATCTATTTTCTCCGCTTTGTTTCTACGATAATTAACAATCATAATTCTTGTTACATCTTACTTCTGAAAGGAGACGAACGTATCGGTGTTTATGTTGCGAGCAGATTTCGCGATATTTGGAAAAAGTAAGTGTTTAGATTATTTTTTGAATGCGCGGGGAAGACATAAGTGACGAAATTTCAAGGTGTCGCGTAGATGTTTTCAAAGTCACACGACAAGACGTTTACAACGTTTGTAGAACGTTTTCCCCCGGAAGTTTCTTCAGATCATTTTCCGAACGACGGAGAAGCGTATTACAAGCTGAAACAACGGGCGGGAATCGAAGACGTATCTTGCGCAGCTTCCTTCTGACGTTCCTCGAGAAACCTTCGTACTATCCTTTCTCTTGACATTGTCATGATGTCCTTTCATGATCACTGTCCACACCTCGAGTTTCGACAAAATACATATCCTCCAATCCCTTATTTTTTCTCGAGTATCTTTGGCGATATTGGACAAAGCAAACTTGCGTGTATTTGATTATTGGATGGCAGTTATGTTTTGTTTTGTTTTTTTTTTTTGTTTAATAAAATGGCATTTCGTAGTCTTTTTTTTTGTTTTTAGGATATTCTGAAATATTATTTCGAAACTTTTAAATATGATATAAATAGGATATCGTTGAAAATGAATCAACAATCAATCAATGGTGATTATGATCATATAACGATTTGTCATTAAAAAAATAATGAATTTTTGGGATATCAAAATATATTAACTTCATTCGCGTTATTATTAAATGCTATCCCACAGTTAGATTTATGTAATTTTGCTTTGCCACCAACAACATTAACATGCACACGTGTGTCAGACCAAATGAGCGGAGCAATCGGTGTCGTTACGAATGAAACTCTCACGAACGAACAAGCTTTATCCGACACTTGCGATCGTCTTGGATGAGGGGAGGCGTCGCGCTCCGTGCAAATTACCAAAGATGTGTCTTTAATTAATTGATGTACTTACACAACGCTAACGACTAATCCTCCACGTTGGTGTTGAGCGTCTATTCGTGAAGCACAACAAAATCTGTGTGTAGAATACCATTACTTCGAACAGATTATTAGAAAAATAATAGTTGAAATCGAGTTTTTGTGTTTACAAATGTCAGTTTCCAATATTCAAAATAATACTGTGAGGATTAATCATTGCATTATATCATTTAAACACTGAATCCGTACGCAAACATCATAATTGATACGATATCTCAAAATTGCACACTTAAAATATTGAAAATTCTAAAAGGATTACGGTATTCAATACACAGATTAATATGTGTGGGTGATCAATGCTGACACACACGTTAAGTCGGTCGACTAACAATAGCAAACGAGCACGCGTACACGTTAGTCTTGTGCGTATATACAAATAGAGCCTAGTCACAAATATCGTTAACAATTGAAAAGTCGTTTCTATGTTCGTGTCATTCTTATCATCGTCCCCCCATCGTCCAGCACGTGCGTTGACGTTACTGTTAGTGCTGCTACGTTTATTATATGTGGCTATTATTATTATTATTATTATTATTATTATTATTATTATTATTATTATTATTGCTACGTTCATCCTTAACTAGTTATACTTGTTGCTCTAATTTGATTGCTATTATTATTAGAATTATTATTATTATTATTACTATTATTCATATACCTATAATTATATTATTTTATATTATTATTCTCTTAGTATTATTATTAGTACTATAGTGGCGAATGATGGCCTCGTTGGCAATTATTATTACTATTATGACCATTACTTCTATTACTTTTATATGTATATTATCGTACTTTGCGCGACAGCGATCGCGATTATCGCTTGTTACTGTTACCGATATCGATCGCTCGACCCAAATTTAGCGCCTCGATGGCAGACTATCAATGTAGATTAGGACCAAGTCAACCGGGTATTTTTATCTTCGTTCTTACAGTACACTGCGTACGAACGTGTGGTTTTTCGCCATAAAATAACCCGAGTCGCGAACATACGCGCGATCATTACATGGTCAAATAAGGATCACTCTTTGAGACGGTCGTTTCCTAAACGAAGCACGTTATAATAGAGCGGGACAATGTACTTACACAACGTTAACGATTCGTTTTCGTGTTTGCTCGCGTATTAATTATTCCAAAAATCGGACCAAATTGATTAACGAGAGCGAACTAAAATATTTGAGATCTCCTCTTTAGCGCTAAGACAGCTGTCAACATTAACAAATGTTAATTACTAATATTGCGAGACGCTATCGTTTTTCTTTTCTGCATAAGAGACATACATACAAAAAAATCCTTGTGTAAATGTCTCAATATTTCTTGCGAAATGGAAACGAAGAGGAGTGTTACTTATGATACATTCTTACGATATGAATCGTTCTCAATTCTTGTGCAACCAGAAAATCTGAATTTTTAATTTCACATTACTTAGCAATTGCATTATAACGCACATTTACAACGTGGAACGCGTAATTATGATGTAACTAATACTTAAGTAATCCCGCCGCACATTAGTGATATAAGTTTCGATTTCCTTTCCTCTTTCTTTCTCGCAACACGAACCGACCAATTTGGTGATCCTGTTCGACCGACGTTTCAATGGCACGGTCGTCTACCCGAATTATTATTTTTACGTTCGCAAAATCCAAATTTGTCGATAGATTATATTTCTGTTTTTACATGTTTCAGTTATTATAGTCATAAGACTACTCTGTTACCGTCGAGTACACCGTCTTAGCGTCGTTCATCTGTCGTGCTTCTTTATTTTTTTGTTTTCTTACATGCTAGAAATCGAATTTGTTCTTTTTCTTTAGTTTTGTTCGTCCACCGCGTTTCTCTCTTCTAGTGTGTAAAATGTCGCCTTTTTCTTTTATCAGAGAGTGGGATGCGTCCCGAACGGAGCTTTCGAGATGACGAATGAATCATGTCCAGTCGAATGCAAATTTTTTCTTAGTTTTAGCACGTTGGGTGTTGGCTGCCATTCGCTAGTTTGCATGTAAACTTTGCTAATATTGTATAGTTTAATTTTATAGAAGAAAAGGAAGAGCAACACACACGGTAGAATTGACCGAAGTTAATAATCGATTGATTCAATTAAATTAGTCATCGAAAATCCAGAAGTGCCGTCGAAAGCTAGAATTTGATATTGACAAATACGTTCGTGCGTTGAAATAATGTACAATATATGGAACATCAAAATTCCGTCAGCACCGAATATCACATTATAATTGCCTCCAGCACTCAACATGTTAAACGTTCTTAATTTAAGCATTGCAAATAGCGCGATGTCCAATAATACTTAAACATTGAGGGGGGAGGAGGGGGGGGGGGAGTATTTGCGTGTGATACATGTGGCATGTTTAATTTATCAAAGTGCGAGACGAAGGACAACATTTTTACAAATTTACAGCTTGCACGTATGTTTAGACGATTGAGATATTTTACCGATAACTGTCACGTTACGTGTTAAGTTTTTCTGTTCCAAGTGTCTACTATCGACGTGTACGTATAATATTTGAGTCACGTATCATCGAGATGCTCCGAGAGTCGCGGTCGATCCCACTCATTTGATGAGACCGATTCAGTTCTCAGCGATCGAAGGATAGACAATGCGAATAGAGTATCGAAATTTATCATTGTGGTTACCCTCCCACGTGTATATTGCGACGGCTTTTCATGCGCACGCGCGCGCGTGTGTGTACGGGCATTAATTGTGTTTTTGTATGTATGTATCTTTGTCACGTACGGACGTACACAAATGATGAGCGATATTGTTCATCGCCGGAGTTTAACGTCGCGCTCTGCGTTATTACTCTTAATTCTCCATTCTTTGTTTAATTTTCTTTTTTTTTTTTTATATCTTTCTTTTTTCTTTTTGTTCAACTACCGTAACTACTTTTCGGCTTTGAACGGCGACGGAGAAATCGCGGAGATTATGTTAGCGTATCGTTGAGTATACTTATATTTTTCTTTTCTGTTCTACTTCGTCCACAACGCGGTCAGCATGTGACGTATGTTGAAAATAACAATATATATATTTATTTTGTTGTTTTAATTTTTTTTCTTCGCTTTACTATCACTCCCACGATCCCGATCCCTCTGATTGTCGAGTGTCATTCGATAATGGGCGACTGTTTTAACAGTCTTTCGAGGTGTATTTTCTCGATTTTGACGAAGCAACGTGACACTAGGAATATTTCCCTGTTCGAGAAGAAGACGATTGGAAACGTCACTTTTTTATCGTGTACTTGTCACTTTTATACATCGTACATATATGTTTTGTATATAAACGGACGGGACTCATGTCATTTATATAACGTGGACAAATGTGAATGTTCGTTACGCTTGTTTTCAGAAAGTCATTTCTCGTTTATGGCTTGCGAATCAAGTCAAAGCTTATTGTCTTTAATTTATTGGTAGTTAATGCATTACTAATTTATTTGATATACGTTTGATTTCGGTTACGCGCGTCATGCGGCTGTGTCGACGTTAAGAGCGGCATTACCTCGAGTCGTGATTCCATCTGAATCGAATACTTTACCAATCACTTCTATATCGAAGACTTGATATGAGAAAGCCTGTAAGAGTGTTATATTTTCGGAAACTTATTTTCCGTTGATGAAGATTACATGCCAAGGCGCACCGATAGCATCGCGAAAAGCCGTAAATGTCGCAGACGAAAACGGTCGCGAGATGATGCGAACGCAGAACGCGCGTGTATAGAGAATTCCTTGTAAATATAAACAAAATAAAGATTTCCAAGTCTAATTTTCCTCAAGATCTCTCTCTCTCTCTCTCTTTTCCCAGCGATCTTTTTTGTGTCAAGCCTTCGATTACACGAATATACATGCAGTTGCGATCTTTTGTTCGGCAGTCACGTTAGAGAGTACGAATTGTACAGAGAAGCCGTATGCACACACCCCTAAGAATCACTCGACGAACTAGCGTGTAGACCCTGTACATAGGCTGTACTATAGTTCGTAAGGATATTTTTTGTACGCAGCGAAATCTCGAGTGACAGGTTATCGTGCCGTTTCATACGGTCGATTTGTTCTGCGACAACCCTATGAAAGAGAATAACGTGTGTTCACAGTGGCGCAAAGATCGATGCCCGGGCCCGCTTAACAAACTCATCGGATTCATTATTTACATGTCAATATTAACGTCAATTGTAATCGCGTGAAGATTCACGCAACTAAATTACTCAGCATCTCTTTCTCGGCACGTGTGCCCTTTGTTAGTCATTAATGAGAGTTGTGATGGTACATAAAAGACTCTGAGAATAAAAAAAATAAAAGCACTGCCTTCTGAATGGTGATAAAACATTAACACACATTCTCTCTCTCTCTCTCTCTCTCTCTCTCTCTCTCTCTCTCTCTCTCTCTCTCTTTCGGATTTTTATGAGTTAAGTATTAGAAGTGTGAAATAGATAAAAAAATCATATTTAACGCTTAGAGTAGACTTTTCTGTAACAACATCTCGTTCCAAAAAAAGAGTTGACGTTTAAAAAATAATTTATTAAAGATTAAATTTTTAATTAATTCGAAGATTGAAAGAGTTGCAACAGTCCTATGATACACACGTTGTAGATGAGAAATATTTTCAAGGAAAATAATGGTATCTTCCTTCGATCTTGGTATCTCTTTTCAACAAGAGAATTTCAGGCGCTTATCGGTGCATCGGGTGGAACGAGCTAACGAAGACTGCCGAGATGTAGTCGCGGCAGAGAAATGCTGTCGTTCGTTACTCTTATCATGTAAATATCAGTCATAATGTTGCGTGTTTAACTTGTAGAGACGAGTCCATGTAACTACTGTAAATAGCAACGTTTAACGGACCACAATGCGCGTTCCCGCCGCCAACGGAACTCCGCCACTGTGTACACGCGTCAGCGATTATTCCGGTGGGTGCACGGAAGCGTACGGAGTAGTGCTGGAGGTCTACGCACAGTCTGCGTGTAGAATATCTGAAGCGTCACTTACGCAAATTACGGCACCTATTCATACCGTATTTAGTGCTAAATGCGACTGCACAAATCTCCGCTCGTAATGACATCAAATTCGGTGTGTTCGGATTAAACAAATAAAACTCGAGGGTCGGATTGCAGCAATTAGCGACAGCAAACCCGATCAGTATCTAATTCGGCGATAAAGTGGTAATTTAGAATGTTTTTCAGCGTAAAGATATTCTCGTATGCTAAAATATGTCAGAGCTGGAGGGAAATATTGCAATGAAACGTGCTTCGATATCAAGCCTGCTAAATTAATATTTTTCTACGTGCAAAATCGCTTTTTTAAACAACAGTTTCCCTTATCAACAGTATTTTTAGAGAAATGCGAGCGGATTATTTCGCGCGATTCATCTCCTGTATTCTACACGTAGACTGTTCACGTTAACGCGTGGATATTCAACACTGGTATGTGAAAGAATAAACATTGAACTATGCATGTGCTGTAGAAAGAGAAATTACGGCGTTTAACGCGTTAGATGTTCTTCTTTTTATTCCGAAGTGTATCTTCGAAACGTCTTTTGAATCTCTCGTGAATCGCGTTCGTCGACGGAGAAGAAGCGTGACGACTCGTTGTCGATCGATTGCTAATTGTATCCGTCATACGCACGCACAGTGAATTCGTACCTAATTATAGGCGTCTAAAGAATTACATTTAGCCATTATAAAACGCGTGCGTCTGCGATTAAAAATTCCCGGCCAAAATTTTTCGCGTTCCAAAACTTTTGTACATTTGTGCGTGAGTTAGGCGAATTACTTTTACTTATAATAGAACCTAGTAGAGCAAATTTGTTTGTTCGTCGTCGTACGAGGATAAACGTTAATTTCGTCGGAGTTTGTTGTACGGAATAAACTTGTCGCACAAGTTCGGCTGTGTCGGCCGAACGTAAACGTCATCGGTGCCGGTTCTTTCGATAGTTGTCGGCAAAAGCTCGCCTAAAACGATGTAGCCTAATCGAGAAAGTTACTCTCTAATATCGCGAACGTAAACGTGTAATCCCGATTGGATAAGAGCAAGCTCTTGCATGCGCGTGCAGATTTCCTTTCTGTCGTCGGTGCACTTATTCTCACTGCAAGTTCGTTGAGGATGCAAGATCGGAAACCCAGTTTCTAGATTAGCTTAATTTCGCTGACACGGGTGATAATAAGAAAAGATTTGCACACACGTAACACGTCTCTAACAGCGTCGGATTTACGGCCTCTCGTGCAACCTTCATCCTCGACGTAGCTTAAATTTGAATTGCATCGTGGTTTGTATGTGATATCGATGGCTCAAACCCGAGTATCTCTACTCTTTCTGCGCGTTAAAAACTCAGAGTACCGAGCGCCGAAAAGTTGAAATTTCCCCGATTTCAGTTTCGCAACTTGTTCTCTCGAACCTTGCCGTACTTCGTGAATCCGTAAATCCGCCGCTGAGCTTTAATAGGAGTAGCGTCGCTCGTATGCGATTGAGGGAGAGATAAACGGGTTAGGATAATTAGAATGCGAGCGAAATAAGTCGCAAAGTGTGAGAAAAGGGGGATGTCTTCGATGTACCGTCTCGGTGTCCTGCAGAGTTCTGTGTAATCGTTTGTAACGGCGATGACGATCGCGCACGATCGAGCAACTCGCATCGACATAGTAATTAAACACGACTTCTAGGATAGCGTAACGTTTATCGGGCAAGCTACGAGCCACGGTGTTTAAGTATATAATATAGCGACCTTTTAGATTTTATATATCGCGTGTGTGAGAATATACAGAGAGGTGCGCGTGCGACAGCGAAGTGCGCGCGTGTTAAATGCGTGTGAGCGCGCGCGTCACAGAATTTAGGCTCGGCAGGTTAATAAATCGTATTTTCGAAATAAATATTGTTCTTTAAATATTTACTCATTCCCCCTCGATGCTTCTTTTCTACGGATCTTCCATGTATCTCTACCTCTGTTTCTACAGATCTCTTCGAAGACGTGGTAAGATCGCCCAGAATGATTACAGTAGGACACCGCATTATTCCTTTGTAGATTTGAAATATGAAAAGTTTCGTTGATATTATAATGACGTAGCTTATCTCGAATATATTTTGTATTTTCAAATTTATATTCAATGATAACAACGATATACAGAATATTGTATCAACATACAGCTCATTACGACAGGTTGCTTGCTCAGAGACGCGCTCTCTCACTTTCTCACGCGTGTCTCTGCAGCATGCAACTCGTCGTAATGAGCTGTATGTTGATGCAACATCCTGTAATTTATGAAAGATCTGAGTAAAGTTTTATGATTACCATGAGTCTCGAGAATAATCGTCGAACACTGATAAAATACCGGCTGCTTTACCATATAAATGTCTGAACGGTTGGTATATTATCTGTTGTAATTTTGCTGCATCGGTACTTACCGACGTTTCCTTCATCCAATGGAAGACGTAGAACGTAGCGACTCGAACTCCAAAATGTCCGGCACGCGCACGGAATTCACTTAGCGGCACTCCCGACGATAATACGCGATGCTGTTTGAATTCCGAACCGCCATAATGCGACGAACTACTTTTTTTAACGATACTTTGCGATAGATGTGATGATAGGCGAAACTCTCGGCATTCCCAACGAGAATTCGCGATACGATTATAGTAATGAATCGCCGTAACGCGGCGAACGAGCTACTTTTTTCGACACGCCCAATGGTTCGTTCCGTACAATATTCACTTTCGATGGCTGTTTAACGATACCGGACGATAGACGCGCGAAACTTGCCACGGCAATCCCGGCGATAACAGTCGGCGAGTGCAAGACTCGTCTTCGATTAACCGAAAATGCAAACGTGCTTCGAACTGCCATAACGCTACGATCGCCCGGTACGATTTTTGGCACTCCCGGCGAACAGCATCGCGAGATACTTGTCGGTGATCGTTTGACGATACTTCTTACGACAGACGCGCGAAACTCGCTCGAGCACTCTCAGTGACGACAATTCGCACGCAAAACTCACCTTCGTGAATCTCGGTGAATCGAAATCGCGATAAAGTAGACGGAGCATCCTCCGAACACGACGTATCGCGCAACCGTTTCTTCTCTGCAACTGATCGTACGATGATTGCGATTCTCGAAATGCGAAGCGCGCCAACTTCACGCGGTACTCCCGTTCTGCGATATAACCATTGTCGAAGGTTGTGCAACGATATTTTGCGACGACGAAACTTACTTTCGGCATTGCTGGCGGCGATTCGCACGCGAAACACGCGTACAGTGGATCAAAAGAGTAAGTATTGTGCTCTGAATCTCTAATGGCCATAACGCGACAAATGGACGGCGCTTTGTTCGGTACTACAACCGACGACTCGTTCCGCCGAAACAGCCTCTCGGGGCTTCACGTTCGTCTATCGTTCATGACTTGTCTATTGACGATATTTTAAAACTTACTTTCGGTGTTGCCGATAACAATAATTCACCTACGATTCACCTGTAGTAAGCTGAAATCGCGGGAGACACGAAACAACCTGCCGAATCTAAATGACCGCGTCGTCTCACTCGTTCTCACAGTTGGCCACAGATGTCGCAACGATTGTGATTTTTGATACGCTTGACGCTCGATGTAGCTCGTTTTGAGGGCGCTCCCTTTTTACGATAACTCATTTATTTAATAAAAATCTCGCAATCCAATAAATACATGAATACTCGAGATAAATTTTAATATTTCTCGTGTTAAAATAAATAATATTTATATTAATCCTTTAATGTATAAGATGGGTGGTTAAATTGACTCCACGATTTCGTTTATTTTACATTGTATATGTGTCGTTTCTCTTCTTAAGGAATGTTTTATGTTATTATTTATTTCTTTTATCCACTTTGTATATTGATTACGTAAAAAATGAACAAAATAGAGCATGGGGTCCAACTCCATTTTCCTGGATATGTTAAAAATCCACCTTGTCATTAGAGAGTTAATAAAAGTCGGGGTTACTAAAAAGTAACCGTGCAAAATCTGTTATAGCGACGAAAGTAATATCACACGATCGTTTTACTTCGGGGTAGTTTCACGAAGTGTCGGTCCAAACTCAAATCACACGATCACTTCATATTCGTTGTATCTTTTTATACATCGAAAGTTGAACTCGCGCGCGGACAAATATCGGAAGTGTTGAATTAAATGACAAGGAATAGTTTTAATGTATCTGTCAGTCCATTCGAGTACGATTAAATTCGATGCCGTTTGATCTTTACTCATAACACTGATATTTATCGCATCATGTTGACAATATAGTGTCGCAAAGTGAGGCAAGCGATTTTATTCGAGGAGACTAACATTTGAATATTCGGTGCTTACATCATATCTTCATGCTTCAGTAAATTTCTGCCATTTATCTGTGCTAGCGTACAATATTGCGTTGAATTCACCATTACAAAATATTATTAAAAAACTCCGGCATTGATTATAGAATTTCTTGACTACACCATTGGTGTCTCGAGAATATTAGAAAGTGCTGACGTTGTCGATTGTTTCAAAATTATCCAAAAAAATATTTAGTTGAAATATATTATGCAATCAATAGATCGTCTTATCATTTAATCATCCAACATTGGCAGTCACGCGAATTCTCCGTAAAGCCGTTAATTTTTAATAATTCCAGTAGACCTATTATGTAATCTTAATAACGGTTTCATCATCGCTACGTTGTCGTTGAAAAGTGATTTATTGATTTTTTCATCATTTTAACACTATGCCGTCCGGGGGCACCACGTTGATGTCCCGCAAAAACTATCGCTCAAAAGCAGGGGGCACCACGTTGGTGTCGTGCGCAAATTATCGCGCAAAGGCCGGCGACATTACATTAGTGTCGTGCGCAAAACTATCACGCAAGGACGTACCGACGACAGCACTGTGATGCCGTTTGTGTTCTGATTATGTACTGTTGGTGTTCTGTTTGTGTTCTGTTTAAGTAACAATAAGTTACAGACATAAGCGTGTTTTTTATTTTTATAAGTACTTGTGCCCTTTGATAATGGCAGACAAAGGAGAAGACACGGTTATTCAAAATAAATGCGCGGACAACTTGTCTGACGTTCTAATCGAATTTGACGTTCCAATTGAATTTGATGATTGCGAAGAAGTAGAAGACATAGCATCTTCAGAAAACCAAAATGAAGCAGAATCTTCGGACGATTCTGAAATAGATACACGAAGAATTCGGCTACGGTTGCCAACTGATACAGATGAATCAGATGAAGATGACAGTATAGAGTGGTCAGACTTTGACTTACCGAGGACCAATAATGAATTTGAAGGGTCTCCTAACGTATTTCCCAGAGGTACACAAAACGTCGAGGATGTCGTGGAATTATTTATTGGGAACGATTTGTTTCAATTTATTACCAATGAAACAAATAGGTACCATAATCAAAATTCCAATAGGAGAAAACTAGATAAAAAAAGTGCCAAATTTGTCGACGTTACGGCAGCCGAACTTAGAAAATGGTTTGGGCTTGTTATTCTTATGGGAATCGTAAAAAAAGCAAGGATGGACGATTATTGGTCTACGAATCCGTTGTTAGAAACGCCAATATTCCGCAAAACGATGTCTCGTAATAGATTTCGACAAATATTATCATTCTTACATTTTTCAGATAACAATAATAAACCGGATAATGCCGACCGACTTTTTGAGGTGCAAACCATAATTGATTATTTCTCAAAAAAGTTTCAAGAAAATTTTAATCTTGGCCAAAACATTTTAATCGATGAAGGAATGATACCATGGCGTGGACGATTGAATTTTAAAGTTTATAATCCATCAAAAATTACAAAATATGGTATACTCGTCCGGATGCTATGCGATTCCACTACGGGATATATTTCCTCGTTCAAAATATATTCAGGCGTTGGACAACCTTTAAAGAATACAGTGATGGAACTATTGACACATTTTTGTGGAAAATGGCATCATCTATACATGGATAATTACTACAACAGTGTAGAACTTGTGGAGAATTTGCTTACAAAGAAAATTCGGGTTTGTGGAACGCTGCGACAAAACAGAGGATTTCCGGCAAAATTAAAGAACTCAAAACTAAATGTATTTGAAACTAAATATCAACGAAAAGGTGAAGTACTCGCACAATTATGGAAAGCATCGGAGACCAAAATGATACGAATAATTTCTACCACACATAATGCCAATTTAGTTGACACACAAAAAATATGTAGAAAAACCAATCGCACGATTCAAAAACCTGAAAGTGTATTGGATTATAATAAATATATGAAGGGAGTGGATCGGGCAGACCAATTTCTTAGTTACTATCCTATATACAGGAAAACCATAAAATGGTCGAATAAAGTGGTGTTATACCTGTTTAATTGCGCTTTATATAATGCGTTCACACTGCATCAACATTACAATGCAGGATGCAAGAGTCTCCGCTTTCATGATTTTTTATTGAAAATATGCGAATCTTGGATAAAGGATCATTTACCTGCTGCTGAAGAAAACTTGGAGGTCGCTACTACATCGCGTGCTTCCAATCATGATTCGATCGACAGACTTTCCGGTCAGCTAAAGCAACACCAGCTAATACAAATTTCCAAAACCGACAAACGAAAACGAAGAAAGTGCCATGTATGCTCCAAAAACAAAAAAAGAAGGACAACAAATTTAATGTGTAAGTCTTGTGGAGTCGCGTTACACCTCGGAGATTGTTTTGCTTCATATCATCTAAAAGAGAAATACTAAGTACCCAATAAAATATTAATAAATAAATAAATATTAATAAATATTAATAAATAAATAAATATAAATAAATATTAATTAATAAATAAATATAAATAAATATATAATACAAAAAAATGTTACATTTATTCACATATATCCTCGAAATTTCATGAAAATAGCGGGACAGGATTAAAAACTAATGAGAACTGACGATTTATGATCTCCCGAAAACCTGGAAAAACCGCCGGCGACAAGTGAAATGATCTGAGTCAGTCCTACCGGCGCCAAACAAAAGAATCCCGATTAGACGTGCGGACGGCATAATGTTAACATCATCGTGATTTTCTGTTCTACCTGGGATACCTTTTCGACATCCAATCACTTTTATTCGACATTTGAATTTCGTGCGGTGTCCCTTCGCCAGGCTCGCGCATGCGCGCACTACGCGAACGCACCTGTAACGCGGCACGCCGCCGACAGAGCGCGCCACATCGGAATTCAGGGCGGTTTTCGACGACAGTCAGTCCCGGCGGCGGCGTTCGGTAAGCAGTCAGGCAGGCAGTCGGTGGTTACGAGAGCGACATGTTGGAGATTTGTGTGATTGTGCGCGTGGCGGGCGATCTCTAACGCGCGCTCCCGTGCGTTTTGCGGTGCGGTGCGTGTGTACGATCACGGTGCGACCAGGTGCACGAGTGAGGAAGCGCACGTCGCGTTACATGTGAAGTGTCTCGGGGAATACATTCGTCATCGAGCCTGCTGGTTTACCCGGCCCAGCAAACATGAGCTGGGGCACGGAGCTCTGGGTAAGTCTCGTTTGTTCACTCCCACCTTCTCTCTCTCTCTCTCTCTCTTCCCCTTTTCCTCCCTCCGTCTCCCCCTGTCTCCTTCTTTCTCTGTCTTCCATCTCTCCTTCTCTTGCTCTCGTCGTCGCGGCGGTCGTGTACGTTCGTCCTTGTCGCGCCTCTGACCCTCCTTCCCGCGCTGCTCCGTGCCGCAGGCGCTCCGTCGGACTCGTCCGTCGCGATCCGCTTCCACCTTGCAAAACCGGAGAACCGCTCCGAAAACGCATCCGTTGTCTTCTCGCTCGCGAAGCGCACCGCCGCGAGCGCATACACGTCACATAATCGCACCCGCGTTCGCGGGTCGCGCATTTCAACGTTAAATGCGTCTATCCGTTCGTTCGTTTGCTCGCTCGCTCGTTCATCCGTCCAGCTGCCATTCCCCATGTTTACGCCGAACGTCGTATTCTCGCCGCGACGAAGATACGTAATTCACGATCGAACGACGCTACGCAATTCTTGGATATTACATTCGCGTCTTTCGCGTCGCCGGATATCTCGTTCGCACTCGTTATTACACGTGTCTTCACGCAGAGAAGTCGCAAAGATGTCGTGAAGATGTTGACGGAACCAAGATGTTCTTTATTAGAAAATTGTCGGGCGTCATTAGTCTAAAAAGATTCAGGTTTCTCAGGCTTATTGTGTGCAGGGACCTTCGTCGTGAATGCGGCTACATTCAGGTAGCTGACCGTAGCCGTGTCCCGTGTGACGTTTCCCAAGCCGCATACCAGTCGACTCGTCGAGAGAGCCCGTTCACGCTGCTCCGATGGCCGCTCGCTCGCTCGCTCGCTCGCCTGCCTGTTCGCTCGCTCGCTCCATTCATTCCCTCGCGAAATTCCCTCCTCGTTGTGCTCCACGCATAAACAACGCTGTTGTTCGCATGTACTTCTGCCCTAACACGAAAACTTTGCTCGGGCACGATTTCTACGTCACATTCGAGAGTCGTGCAAGATAACGCAGCCCCGTGATTGGACCGTAACATGTTACTGCACTTATGTTTGTAGCCGAGTTTTCCTTGCTTGAGGTTTTCAAGGAATGTAGTTTTCGTGACTTCGACGTAGTAGTATCTTTTCACGATGAGGACTGATATTTGTATCTCAAGTATTGCTCCTGAGTTTCTAGTCACTTGTTTGATTAGATATTTCCGCGACCATCTTTCCGACGATGATCTTCCGAACACGCTTAGGAAAAGTATTTTTAAGATTGTAAATAATATTCATCCGTTCTTAGAAAAGATACGGTTGTAATCTTTATTATTAAATTTCAAAATTACATATTGCTAAATTAATTGTGATTTCTTATCTGCGGCGATAACCTCTGTAGTAATTCGTACAACGCTGTTATCGCGACGTTCACGTATTTTGACAGTTCTGATAACACAGTCTGATTACGTCATTATTTGACTAAGAATATCTTATCAGTTTTTTTCGAAGCAAATATTTTCGCGGCTGTAGTACGTAATCATTTTAAGAATTCGGAATCGACTGGCTTGTCGACTGGTTTTTAAACCCAACTGGTTGACATCCGGAAATACAACTGTTATAACGGACAAGTTTTACTAACATCCTTTTCCTGATCTATTTGTTACAAACGTCTAGAAATAATTTCGCCGAGTGCGTCACACATAAGAATCACGACACAATGGCCATGTAATTGCGATTTTTTTCTCGACAAGTATTACTTCTCTATCAATACACTTTCTCCAGAGAATACAATTACTGCCTTCAAACCATCAATATAAACGCTTCACCTATCTATCTTTCTATACATCTACCTATCTATCAAAGCCTTCGTTTTGCCTCAAGCAATCCCATCGTAATTTCATGGTCATACAATTGCATCTTTTTTCGGTAAATGCCATTCCTCTGTTGTGCACCTTCTTCAGAATATAAATTTAACCGTCCTTTTGCATCAAACTACTATTAAATGCTTCATCTATCTATCTACCTGTCAAGCCTTTCAATTCCTTTTAATCAAACTCGCCATAATTTTCGACTATACAATTCTAATTTTTTGGTAAATAATGCTTTTTCTTTTCCAAAGAATATAGCATATTTCTTGCTCACACTGAATAAGTGTTTTATCTTAGTACCTGTCAAGCCACGATAGGACTTGTAACAATTAGAAATGAGGATTAAAAATATAGAACTTATAAAATTAAGAACTTTCAGAGCATACGTATATGTGGAAATAATTATAATCATATTACGTATGTTTACGTGTTAACATAACTTTATTTCTTACATTATAATTTCGGTTACATTCTTTTTCATAGGCTCTAAGAGGCTTCATCGTACCTGTTGGAAAATCAAACATCTATCATGACCCAGTCATGATCAGTCGCAACCGTGATATTTACCGACAAACGTCGCTTCTCTGTCACACATCGTCCGTGGGATTTACATATTTTCGGCAGGAGAATTTTTCCCTCCTCTCGCAATGTTACCTGCGAGCCGTCGCCGCCACCGCCGTCATCGTCTTCGTCGTTGTTGTTTTCGTCGACGACATGTAACCGCGATATCCCCGAAAACCAGTTCGCTCGGCGCTCGCCAGGAGTTTTGCCTTTTCGGTTGCTAGCCGCGGGCGACGTTCCTCGTGTCTCCCCGCGGTTATTCCCCTTCTCTTCTCATCGCGCTTCTCGTGTACCTTTCCTGCCCCCTCGCTCAACCTCGTCCTTCCCTCGCACCTTGCCCGTGGAGCATACGTTCTTTTGCTTCCTTTCTCGTGAAATCCTCGACGGCCACGACGACGACAATGTCGTCGTCCTCGCGATCGGTTCGCGTTTCAACTCTTCAAGAAACGTGGGTTTCACATTAAGGAGAGAAAAATAAAAAAATCAATGACTAATATTCTATGTGGGACATGGGAACAGGATAGAAATCATGGAATCGAGAATGCAGCGTTAAACGAGTCATCGGATAATCTTCTCAGAAGAGATTCTTATTCGCGTATTCGTGCGTGCGCGCAAAATTGATTCACTCTTTACTCGCCAATGACGTTCCTGCGCCTTCGGTCTCTCTATTAATAATTCATTCGCGCATTCCGTGCCATCATTTTCGTCACTCATTCCCGTTAGCGTACTCGCTGTGTGCCCGATCGACCTGCCTGGTTAAAACAGAAAAAAAAGAGATCGCGTGCCGCATATCGAATTGCTCCACGGACAAAAATAAATGTTAATGTGTCGTTCAAATTGTTCTAGCGAGATATTTCCAGCGATTTCCATCCGGGGAACGTCTTTCTACGAGTGCGTTTCTTCCTTCAAAGGAACTCTGTCTTCTTCTTCAAAGGAGATTCTCTACTATCTCTCTTCTCTCGGTGCGAAGAATACGAGAGGCACGACCGTCCTGCGCATGTACATATGTTCGCTAGTAATACCAGCTAGCGGTTAAACACGAACACAGCTTGTATCATGATTCACGGGAAAGTGTGTACGACACGTCAATGAATCGTGATATACACGACATGTATTTCGGATCACGATCAATCGCGGGCACACCGATAACGGAGATCGCTCCCTTGATCATATTTCGGCGATTATTACGATGTCAATGATAATCGCCGAGGCGGCGCACCACTTCACTTTAATAGAAGACATCGCTACTTATATTGGCTATGTCGTACGCCGCGAGTGTACCACTCGAGAGTTAAAAAAGTGTACGGTGTATATTTATTCACGGGAACGTCGCGAGACGATGCCTCGATCGAGAACCCGCTTTCTCACCTGCTTATCGCAGGAGCGAATACTTTCTCCAAAAGTGTCCGAAACGATCATCGATCGGATCACAAGCGTACGAACACAGCTATCGATTGCTCCGATTCATCTCGTAACGGCGGGGACCAACACTGACCCTGACGAATTAATTTGGCCCCCCAACGCACCGTACAATCGATAGAATACGAAGGTGGCGAGATGCAGGCGGCGACGGGCGCAGAGGAGCAGGAAGGGAGAAACGAAGATATAATCACGAGTGCTTACGTCATTGCGTACTGTATCGCAAATCGGAAATGACGCCGGCGATTCCCGATTTCGCGTCGGAGAAAGTAAACGCGCCGCTCGGCTCGTAACCTTCGCAGCTTTTCCCTCCTACGTTCGTTTTGCTTCCATTCGCCGCGACGTGCGTAATAATAATCCGCGTAGGTGAACCGGAAGAGAGCGCGGCACAGCGGCGGCGGCGACGACGAAGCGGGAGCGGCTTTCGAAGCCGATCGGTATCGCGACGCGATTTTCCCTCTTCAAGAGCGCGAACGAGCGTCGGGAGGAAGACCGCCCTATTGTGGGCTCTATTGAAACCTAATCTCTCCGTCGCTTATTTTCTACCATCGCTGTTATCGCATTTGTACGCAGAGTGGATCTTTGTTATAGCCACACCCTGTGTATTATTATCACTGTCATCCCATCTGCGATACGACGACGTGAAACATATACAGATATCACGTGTTTGTGATTTAATGTTACATCCATAATTATGCTGTTTTATCTGCAGGGAGAAAGATCGGTTTTCACTTCTGACATTTATCACACAAACCGGCACTTTCTCCAAAAGTTCCAGTACTCTATTAAAGTATCGCCGGGTGCAAGTGCACTTTTAGCTGAAGATCCGCGTCGCTCGTCGTTAGCAGACTTCATCGGTCGTTCTCCAACGCAGTGTTAACAATCGCCGACTAATTGTACGACTTTTCCGACGATTTCCCGTCCATTTGCCGAGGAAAACCGGAAGACATCCGGAAGTGAGACATCTGAGGCACGTCTCGGGAATGTCAAGTCGTGAAATCACCGTGGCGGTCACACAAAGAGACCGAGACGAGCCTTTTATGAGCTAAAGGTTATTCATCATTCTTCGCTGAAACGCATAATCGACTAACGGAAACACGCTCCGCGAAATTTCCTAATAGAGATTAGGGGAATAAGCATCCCGTGCCGCTATAGTCCTACGTCGGACTTGAATAGTCGCTACTACTACAAA